GTTGTCCTCCTCCTTACCGAGCCCCGGCGCCTCTCGCGGAGCCTCGCCGAGCACTCTCGGCGCACCGCCGCGTGCCCCGAAGGAGGCGGCCGCCGCGGAGGAGGCGCCGCGCTCCCGCAGGGGGGCCGACGAGTCGGGGGGGGCTGGAAAGGTGCGGTACAGTCGAGGCGTTGACCTAAGGAACACGAGGCCCCTATTTTCCATAAGTTCAAATTCGATTTCGTATCGAAAACATAAGGAAAATTCTAGGCATGCTGCGAAACACTTAAAGAACACGGAGCCCCTCCCCAACGAAAAGGGTTCCGTCTTCAGGGCCCCGACTGTACCCTGAGCTTTTCGCTCCATCTTGAATCGGCAGCGAGCGAGGGGGGGAGTGAGACGGAGGATGCCTTCTCAGAAGGCGGCGGGGATTCTCAGCAGCCCTCGCGCCTTCCGAGAAGTCTCCTGCGTCTTCGGGGAAGGCTTAGAAAACTTCTCAGAAGGCCGGGGGACTTCCGAGCCTTCTGAGAAGGCCTGCCCCTTCTCACTTCCCCCCTCGTTCGCCGCAGATTGAATCCCCTGGGGCCCTCTGGGCCTCGTGAGGGGCGCCTTGGAGGCCGTGGGGGCTTCCTTGGAGATCCTGGGGGCACCCTGGGCCTGGGGCACTTCTCTAGCAGTAGGTCGGGCATGCCCTCCTGCAGGCAGATTTTGGAAGATGAATAAAACATAGTCAAACCATAATCAAAAAAGAGCCCGAAGAGCACAGAACATCGGCACCTGACTATTGTTTCACTATTCTTGAATACTCCTCCTGTACAGGGACATGCCCGACTTTATTCTAGCAGCGCCCGAACAAGGGGGGGGGACTGGCCCCAAGGTATCGGCCCAGACATCGCCGGTGCATCGCCAGCAGATTGACGGCAGGCCCCCAAATAACTACAATAGGAGCTCTCGACCACAAGAGACCTTCCAAAGGCAACCCAACCCTGAGACCCCAGGACGTCCATTGATTTCTGGTGTGGGAACGTCACGCTTTCCCATCGCAAAACCATTTAAACCCAGGAATACCAAGGCACCCTGGAGGCAGGGTGCTTCTTGGTATGGGTTTCCACTGTAGACACGCCTCCGCGTCTTCAACGTGGCCCTGGCTGGGCGTGTCACGGGGCACGTGCCAGCCAGGATGTCGAGGCGAGTCCAGCCGCGGCCACGTGGACCTCGAAAAACATCTGAGAAGGTCGTTGTCGTCGTCGTCGTCGTCGTCGTCGTCGGCGGCGGCGGCGTCGTCGTCGTCGTCGTCGTCGTCGTCGTCGTCGTCGTCGTCGTCGTCGTCGTCGTCGTCGTCGTCGTCGTCGTCGTCGTCGTCGTCGTCGTCATTCCCAGACCTCCGACGTCGTTCTTGATGTGCGTCGTGGGTCTGCGACTTCCTTTCCGGGACGGGTTCTTCGTCCCAGGTCGTTCTTTGATTATCCCCAGGCCCGAACAAGGAGTTGGGTCTGGCGTGGAAGAACCGTTCGTCCTGCTTTCTTGTCGCTACTGCCGTCAAGAGTATGACCGTCGTCGCCGCGGCGGTTGCTGTCGGCCCCAGAGGAACAACACAGTACATACACATTAACTTTTGCAAGTCCGCGCGGATTTCTTGGATCCGCGCTGGACCCCCCCTCTCCACCTCTCCAATGCGCGGAGCGCACCAGGGCAGCGCCCTGGTGCGCCGCCAGGTGGACCAACGCAAATCCAAGACATCCGCGCGGATCTCCAACAGTGAAAATATACGGCCGGGAAATTTTGGATGGCGCGTTGCCACGGCGGTCACGGCGACACGCTTGCGAACGGATGGCGTGACGCTCCGCCTCGCGGGGCGAGACGCCTGTGAACAATTAAAACGTTGACGCCTGGGGGCTGGGAAACGGATCGCGTGTCGCGCCAAAGCGTGGTGGGCCAGAACCGGCAGCGCGACACTCTATCCCCAAATGCGTTGGTGTCTGACACCGTGCGGATCGTTCAACCTCGAACGATCTCGGCGCTCTGGCATTGCAGATCGCCCGCTGGCAGCGTTCAATCTTGAACGCCCGCGCTGGCTCCGCCGCCGCGTCAACGCGGCACGAACCTACCGTATGCATCGAATGGGGGATCGACGACGAAAGGACTTACCCCAAAATTGATTATCTCGTCAAATGTGCCAGCACATGCGTACCATGTTCGTAAATCTACGAACGCTCTGCGCATGTTTCGTCGATTCGACGAACACGCCAATGTTGGAACACATTAATTATGTAGTCGATCCCCTACTCGGCTGCAATGTGGTCTCTCTTCGACGGTCGTCGTCGTCGTCGTCATCGTCACCGCCCGCGCTCGCTCCGCCGCCGCGCCAACGCGGCGCGAACCGACCGTGCAGTAGGAGCTCGACCACAAAAGCCTGTCCACAAGAAACCCAACCCTGAGACCCCAGGACGTCCATTGATTTCTGGTGTGGGAACGCCACGCTTTCCCATCGCAGAACCGTCGAAGCCCTAGAAACCCAGGGCGCCCTGGAGGCAAGCAGGGTGCTTCTTGGTATGGGTTTCCACTGTAGACACACCTCCGCGCCTGCAGCGCGGCCCTGGGCCTGTTACTGGGCACGTGGCCACGTGGACCTCGAAAAACCTCGTTGGGCGTCGTCGCTAGATGGGCTGGTGTTTTTTTTTGTGTTGGTTCGCGAGCGCAGGCGGGAGAGCCGCGCGCCGTCACAAAGATCAAGCAAATACCTGAATGCCGCGGTCAGGAACAAAAGCGCGCGCAGCGAGCGAGCGTCCGAAAATTGCAGGCTACGCGCCTAGGCTCAACCGCCGCCCAGAAGTCGAAGACAGCCGAGTCCGAGTGTCGAAGGGATCGGCAGCGCCCATTTGCGCCGACGTTGTTCTCAGCGAGCTTGCCCTCGGCTACGAGACAGCATGTGCTGAATGTGGAGCCCGAGCACCACCGCCGTCGTCAAGAACACCATCCCGAATCCACATCACGTAAGCCAGCCTCGAAAGGCTGGTGGGCATACTTTTTTTGGTCGCGGCCGCGGGCGAAAGCGCACACGGCGTGTCGTGAGACCGGGGCGCGGGCCTACGAATTGACGACAGCAAGCTAGAGCCGACACCCAAACAGCCTAGGCAGACTACGCGGCGCCTCGCGTGAGCTGCAAAACTGGTGGGCGTACTTTTTTTTTTATCTGCGGCCCGCAAGGAAGAGTCCAGAGGGCGTGTCAATCGGGCTAACTGGGGCACAGAGCCAGATAATTTGCGAACCCAGCTGTCACTGTCGACAGCCGACCGCACATGCAAGCATGCAGAACACTTGGGAAAACGGGCAGACGATAGCACAGAGCCATAGAACTGCGGAGCGGCCACTGTCGAGAGCCGGCCGCACGTGCAAGCAAGCCGAGGAGGCACAGGGAGACCGACAGAAAACGAGGCGACGCACAGTGGCGCCAGCACCCGAAAGGCCGGGCGAGGGGCAGGACGACAGGAAGGAGGGGAGGGGTGGTGGTGGGCATACGCGAAGCGTTAAGAGTTTGTGTCCTTATTCCACGCTCGTCGTCGTCGTCGTCCAAGCAGGCCCGCGGGGAGGCGGGGGGGCGTCCCGAGGGCCTGCTGCTGGCCGAGTTCATCTTCGTGGCGGACGTGTGCCTCGCCAGCCCGCCCGCCGCGCCCCCGGCTTGCCGCTCGGACGTCCTTAGAAGCCTCCCTCCTCCTCCTCCTCCTCCCCCTCCTCCCCCTCCTCCTCCTCCTCCTCCTCCTCCTCTTCTTCCTCCTCCTCCTCCTCCTCCTCCTCCTCCTCCTCTGCCTTTTGGCGTTGGCCAAACCCGAATCCTACGATTGTGGCGTTCTGTCCTCCCTCCTCCTCCCCCCTCCTCCTCCACCACTTCCTCCTCCACCTCCTCCCACCTCCTCCTCCCCACCTCCTCAACTCCTCCTCCTCCTCCTCCACCTCCTCCTCCTCCTCCTCCTCCTCCAAGCTTCCCTTAGACGCCCCCAGGCTTCCCTTAGAAGCCTTGCCCCGTGCATGATCCGATGTTTCGTGCTCATTTCGCCGCGAGGATCCAGGATGCTCCCCTATGGTCCTCACCGAGAAAAGGTGCACACGTCCGAGCCGTGCCAGGCCCATTCCTCTGCCGCCCCGGTGTCAAGCCAAGTGAACGTTTTTTGGTATTCGGCGCTTCGGCATTGGGCGGGAAGAGGGGGGAAGGGGGGAGCCTGGCTCTGGATCTCCGCTTCACGCGACTGCCTGCATCAGTGCGTTCTGTGGGGGAGACCCCACCTGCTTGAAACAAGCGACAAAAGCAGCCAAGATCTACTACATTGGGGGGGGGGCGGGGAGGGGGTGCGAGTCGAGGGCCCGTGCCGATCGGCAAAACAACGAATACGAAAACGATCAACAACAGGGGATGGCGGATCTTGTGGCTTGCGGCCTGTCCCGCCACCGTGCCTGGAGGCAATGTACGGGGAGATCTTGGGGACCAGGGAGAGCCATGAGAATCCACTTATGGGAGTTGTCTTATGGAGAAATCGTTTGTACGTCGGCTCCCAAACCAGGCAGTGCAATGCAGCCTGTGCCATGCTTACAGCACGACAGAAATAATGAATCAATGCCTGGTGCCTCCGCTTGCTCGTGGTCAAAGCTCAATCCAACTTTCGATTGCAGCTCTTGGTGTCACCGAATGCGCACTTCAGAACGAGTGGCGCTCCAGAGGTGCAAGCGAGGTCAAGAATGGTACGTGAGTGCGTGAGTGATGAGGAAGAGGAAGAAGAGGAGGAGGAAGGAGGACGAAGCCAATAGGGCGGAGGGAAGAGACAGAGGAGGAAAGATACTGGTAGAAGCGACGAGGAAGGGAGGAGGAAGGAATGGAGACAAGGCGATGAGGATGAGGGAGGACGGTGGGGCAGGAGAGGGTGAGTGGACGGAGGAGAGGGAGCAGCAAGAGGATGAGGCGAAACAGGAGGGAGGAACGCTAATGATGACCACGACGACGACGAATATGATGATGATGATGATGATGA